CTTTTTCAAGCTTTTCTAAAAATGATTATTTGTTCAATGCTATGGTGAACTCTAGCTTCCAAAAACAGTTACTGTCACTGTTTTACTGTAATGCTGAGGGTGGGGCTGTATGTAGTTTAGTGATAGAACACTTGCTTAGTCTATATGCAAGGTCCTAGGTCTCAGCACCACATAATGAAAATAAAACATAATTAAGTTGCGTACTGTAATGTTGACGGTTTCTTTGTTCAACGTTCTACTGCATCTCTACTGGCAAAACCAAGCTTCAAAATTCCATGAGAGGGGCTGGGGATTTAGCTCAGTGGCACAGCGCCTGCCTGACAAGTGCGAGGTCGTGAGTTCGATTCCCAGTACCAAAAAAAGAAAAACCTCCATGAGAGTTGGGCGTAGGGGTGCATGCCTGTAATTCCAGCACTGGGGTGGGGGCTGAGGCAGGAGGATCGTTGAGAGTTTGAGGCCAGCTTGGGCTACAAAGTGAGCTCAAGGTCAGCCTGAACTGCACAGCAAGACCCTGTCTCAAAAAGACAAAAACAAAAAACAAAAAAACTCCATGAGAAACTAGAGTGTGATACTCCACTTACATCAAAATTTGAAAGCTGGAAGTATGTTCAATGAGTTGTGTCTCGTTATATTTTCATATTGTGCTAAACGATATATTTTACTGCAATAAAAATAACAGAACAAGATCTACTTTTAATATTGCAAACACATTCACTGTATGAGTAAGCCAACTCGTATATAACCACTCTGGGTAACTGAACTTGCAAGTGTGACTCCATCTACAAATGGCAGAGAAGTGAAAAATTCTGAAATACAACAATTTCAAGTAATTCTACTCTGTAACACACACACACACACACACACACACACACACAGTGAGAAAGAAAACTAAGGCCTAGAGAAGAAAAGTCGCCAGCCCCAGATTATTCAGCTAACTCCAGGGGGCTTCAGAAGGCTTAGAAGACACAACTGGAGAGCCCGGAGAACAGGAGGGCGTCCGGGAGCCCGCGGCCGCGCCTCTCTCCCCGGGAGCTCGCCCCTCACCTTGGCGGTGCGAATCAGGCGTTTGGCCACCTCCAGGTCGCCCTGGTGGTTCTGGCCGATTTCGGCAATGATGAAGCATGGGTGCTGCCCGCCCACCCAGCGCCCCGGGCACAGCTCCAGTTCCAGCGGCATCGCGGCAGCTCTCTCCACCGCGCCCTGCGGTCCGCCTCAGAGCGCCCACGGCAGCCAGGGTCTGTGCAGCGTTCAGCCCGGAGTGTCCGCACACCCCGCCACGTCAGCCCGTGGCCGCCACGTAGCCAATCACCGGGGGCCGCCTCGCTCCCGATAGCCAATCGGGGGTGGGGTGGGGCGGAGCCTTCCGCAGAATAGCGGTGGGGCGGGGCTTCCTGGTCCCGGAGGCCTCGCGAGGTCCAGCGCGGGGCGTGCAGCGGTCAGAGGGACTCGGTGGTGTGGTCTTTGCACAACTTCGCCGCGGGAGGCTGGCAGCCGCCCTCGCTGGGTTTAGCCTGGGCTCAGCTCCTGAGGGCGTGGGCACAGCGCTGCCTTCGGTATGATGGAAACCACAGGGATTCTAGAGTTAGAATCCCAACCACACCTTGATCATGAATATTCTCCTTCTGAGTGGTACTTTCTTTTTTACCTGAAGCAGGAAGAATTAGACGAACTGTGAGGTGCTGTGTAGAAACCCTTGGTCACAGTACTTGGTGTAGTAAATTTTCAGTAAATGGTCGCCCTTCCCTATTTTATATGAGAGGCAACGGGTACAAGAAGTCCCGGTGACTTTTTCAAAGCGGAGCTGGGACTGCGACTCTGAATTTTGCAGCCATGGCTCCTACAGTGCACCTATTTGGATGCTGGATAAAACTCGGAAATGCGTTAGGCAGACTGACTTACCAGAACTGATGAGCAAAGTGACAACCGGCAGAAGAGCAGAGATTTTGGAGATGTTATACATGAGCAGGTGGAACTGCCCGCCGGGCAGGAGGAAAGGCAGCCCTGATGCTCAGAGGAAAGTCTCCCGGAGAGGATCCGGGAGCCACTGAGAGCGCGGAAAGCCTGAGGGCAGCGCAGATTGCCGAAGGCCAGCGTGGAGGACGCAGCCCTGGAGGGGACGGAGACAGAGTAGGGGACCAGAACCCACTCACAGAGGACCCGTCTGTGTCCTCAGGAAGTGAGGCACACAGCCTCAAAGGCCCACAGCAAGGCAGGACAGTGAAGAACAGGAAGAGAGTGGTGGACTTGGAGGTAGAGCGCGGCTGGAGGCGGTAGATTTGGTGGCAAAGAGAAAGTAAGGAAAAAGAAGGGACAAAAGTAAACCTTCACTTGGAGCTCAGTGGTTAAAGCAGGTGGGAAACGGACCTGGGCTGGGAGGGGGTTCAGAGTTGAGGGGTTCTGAGGAAGTTCATGTTTGGAAACCAAGGGGAAGCAGCAAAGAAAAGGAGGTGGAAAGCTGGGAGGCTGAATCAGGGATCACTGTTCCAGGCCAGTCTGCAGTGTGCTACATTAGCTGGCGTGGACTTTCCCTTTCAAATGTAATAGCCAGGCAGCAGACCTCAGCTCGGAGAGAATAAGACCCAGCACTAAAGTAACATAGTCACTTTTGGCTGCAGAAAACCATTGTGGTTTTGCATGATTTGTAAATAAGTGGAAATTTATTATTCTAAGGGGAAAAAAGGAGAAATTGCATTTAATAATAGTCAGCCCTAGGCCAGACGTGGTGCACGTGCCTATAATCCCTTGGGAGGCTGAGGCAGGAGGATCAATGTGAGTTCGATGTCAGCCTGGGCTACAAAGTGAGTTCAACTGCATAATGAAACCCTCGGGGCTGGGGATTTAGCTCAGCAGCACAACGCCTGCCTGGCAAGCGCAAGGTCATGAGTTCAATTTCTGGTACCGCAAAAAAACAAACAAACAAACAAAAAACCTGTCTCAAAAAGACAAAAAAAAACAAAAAAAGTCATCCCACAAAAGCAAGTTAGCCTGATGTTGTTTGTAACCAAATACAAACTTTCAATAAATTAAAGTACTTTACCTTACCTAATGAGGAAAAGATGCAGTTTTCATTCCATTCTTTGGCTCATGTTTAAAGCCATTTTCCGGGGCTTTCTACTTGGCTAATGCATCACTGTTTAATCTGTCAAGATGAATGAAAGTATGTGGGAAGATCTTCTGAAACAAATTAAAACCAGTGAGAGACTCTTTCCTGTTACTGGCAGAAAAGGGGAAGACTGCATTTTGGAGAAACCAGAGTACCCAGTGTGCTGGGTCACCGGGCTGAGCGCCAACGTGGGGGCCCGGTTTCCACACTAAACCCTGGGGCCACCCTGAGTGCTTTCTCCAACCTAGACTCTGCCTAGTTTTTTTACCACCGTGTGCTCCAGCTACACTGAACTATTTTGTTTTTTTTGTTTTGTTTTGTTTTTCTCCGGTACCGGGAACCGAACTCACGACCTTGCGCTTACACTGAACTATTTTGGGTTCCCCAGAAGATCGCAGTATTCTGTCCTCTGCAGGCCTTGGCCCAGGCTGTTTCCTGTGTGCCCTTACTCCTCGTCCTCCACTCCGTCTTACAGAGCCAGGCTGGCCACTGTGTTCTGCAGGTCTTTCAAAACAGCAGTCACTGTGTCTCAGACCCCCCATCCAACAACCTTCTCCGGGCACACAGGGAAGCCCTCTTTACCCACTTCTCACCCTCCAGGTAGCTTCCTGTTCTCTGGATTGTCATTCCCTCTGGACTCTGAGCTCCTTCAGGTCAGGCCCCATCTTCCACATCTACTCAGCACCAAGCCCTGGGGACATGAGGTGCCCAGGAGAGGCAGACACCTGCTCTGCCTTGTGCAGAGCCGTAGAACCATGTCCTTCATGGACCGGAGCTCCTTAAAAGCTGGCCTGGATTATTTCCTGCTTTATCTGAAACACCAGGCTCAGGTGTTTCTTAATACCTAGGAGGTGTTCTGGTCCTGGAGGTCAAACCCAGGGACTTAAACATGCTATGCAAACACTCTACCACTGAGCCACCCCACCAAACTTTTAGAGAGGGTCACAGTAAGTTGCCCAGGTTGGCTTTGAACTTGTGATCCTCCCCTCTCAGCCTCCTGAGCAGCTGGGATTACAGGCATGTGCTAGCAGGCCTGATGAACATTTTCTGAACGGGCAAGTGTGGAAAAGAAGAGATGGTTATAAAAACTAAGCAGGGGTGACTTCATCCACTTACTCCTCGGGCCTCAACCAGCTCCTTTGGGGAATGTGACTTCTGATTTCATGGCGGTCAGCCTTCCACCAGGCTCTGCTGCGGAAGGAATGAAGTATGGAGCCACTCATGCTCCCCAGTCCCAGCTGCCAAGGACCTGCCCTGAGGTCCCTCGGCCAGAGTCTGATCCTCCCACGGTTCTGAGTCGTTTTGCTTATTGGTACCCTTTTGGTTATACCCAGCCCACTCCAACCTCCTTCTTCTCCAGCCTTGGCCTGGGTCCCAAAGCACAAGCCCCACTGTCCCTCTGGGTGGTACAGGAGTGGTAAGTGACTCACGTCTCCCTCACCAGGCTCCAGTTCCCAAAAGTACCTCACATATACATCCAGCAAATCATTCCTGAGGGTTTGCTGCATGCCAGGGACCACAGCCAGCACTGGGGCAGGACAGGGAAGAGAGGGCCATGGTCCTTTTCCTGTAAACTGTAGTTTACATAGAAGCCATTTACAACAAAGGTAACATATGTGATGTGACTATAATAAGGGCAATAGAAAAACAATGTTATGTGAGAAACCCACAAAACACCTTCGTGTGAGTGTGTGTGTGTGTACACGTATACACCGATGATCAAGCCCAGGGCTTTGAGTGTGCTGTACCACTGATCTGTGTCCCCAAAACCAAGGACCTACTTTAGATAGTAAAGCATGGTGGCCCAGCTATTTAGGGGCTGAGGCAGGAAGATTGTGATGAGTTCGAGGCCAGCTGGGCTAAAAAGTGAGTTGAAGACTAGCCTGAACTACATCATGAAACCCTGTCTCAAAACAAAACTAAACTAAAATAAATAAATAAAATAAAGAAGGGCTGAGAATGCATCTAGACTATTTGCCTCACATGAGGCCCCTGCATTCAGTCCCCAGTACTACAAAAATAAATAGAGTCTTTCTGAAGAGGCAGCATTTAGGCTGAGACTCTTACCCAACTCAGATGCTTGCAAATGATAATAATCTCCTTAGGCTGGGTGCAGTGGCACAAGCCTATAATCCAGCACTCAGGAGGTTGAGGCAAGAGGATTGCCTCAAGTTTAAGACTAGCCTGGGCTACATAGTGAATTCAAGAACAGCCTAGACTACATAGTGAGATCCTGTCTCAAAACAACAACAACAACAACAACAATAATAATAATAGGGCCGGGCATGGTGGCGCACTCCTGTAATCCCAGCACTTGGGAGGCCAATGCAGGAGGATTACTGTGAGTTTGAGGCCATTCTGGGCTGCATAGTTCAAAGCTAACCTGAACTACTTAGAGAGACCCTGTCTCAAAAAACCAAAACAAAAAAACCATCATCATCATCATCATCATCATAGCCGTCTCTCCTCACCTCACAGGATGCTGAAACAGTACCTTGTCCTGAACAACCTCCTCTGCAAAATGGGGACAGCGGCCATCAGAGGGCAGTAATGAGGTCCACATGAGAAGAGGCACAGCAGTCCCCTCCTACACACACACACACACACACACACACACACACACACACACACCCTGCCAACATTTAGAGGTCAGTTGCTAGGCTGTTCCCTGACTTATTTCCACCCTTGTGGTCTGCTGAAACCTTCCTACCCTCAGACCTCATCCTGACCGTGTATGTCTGTCACTGGCCCCTCTTCCGGTTGGGCTGGTCCAGCCAAGCTCTGAAGACAGTGGGTCTGTGATGTGTCTCCACCCCTTCTTCCCACCCTTAGCTTCATAAAGTTCCCAAAGCTTTAATAACTTTCACTCTTCTCATCTCATGCTGTCCTTGGGAACCCTGAACATGAACAGGGTTTCAAGATTTGTGTCCTCAGGGGGTAAGGCCCAGACCTGCACCCCAGCCTGCTTGCTCACAGCCATGTCAGAATATAGCCCCAGGACACTAGAACGCGCCCTGGCAACCTGACCTCAGCTATGTGATGCTGCCATCCAGAGGCTAAGCAGATTGATCCAGACATGTTCAAAGATGCTATTTGGACACGGGGGTAGTAGTGCATGCCTGCAATCCCAGCTGTTAAGGAGGTTGAGGCAGGAGGGTTGCAGACTGGGGGCCAACTTG